CTAGCGGCCCCGGCCCCTGCGCGAGCGCGCGCGCGGCGCCCACCTCGGCCTCCCCGCAGCCCTACCTCCGCGGCGCTCGCCCGGCCCGGGCGCGCCCGCGCTGCGACACCTACGGGGCTTCCCGGGCGCAAAAGCCTCCGAGCTCCGGCGGAGGAGGAGGGAGACGCCCGGGGCGCCTCCGCCACCTCCCCGCGCCCAGCCGCGCTCGGCGACCTTTCCGGACAGGACGCGGGGTCTGCACCGCGGAGGCGAGCCCTGGGCTCCCGGCGGCTTCTCGGGTTACTCGGAAGGAAAGAGCCCGCCTGGCTGGCTGGGAGGACGCCCCGGGGAGCGGCGCCCCGCGGGGAGGACGCGGCGCAGCGGCCGCAGAGCCGTCTCTCCGCCAGGGGGTTAACTGCAGCTCGGGCGGCCCGGGCGGGCGCGCTCGCTTCCTCTGCCGCCGCCCGGGAACATGGATAGCGCGCCCGCGGGATGTTCGCGGGCTGGGTCGGGCAGGCGGGAAACATGAGAAGGCCCCGCTATTCCGGTTCCCGGGCGGCGCGCGCCCGTCCGGGTAAATAAAGGCGAGACCGCGGCGGCGGCGGCGGGGAGCGCGTCGGAGCCTGCGCCGGGAACATGCGGCGGGGATGGGAGCGCGCCTAGCCCCGGGGCGGGACAGCCAGCCGCCCGCGGCGGCCTCCGCGGCCACAGGTATCGTCCTCCGCCCCCGCGAGCCCCGGCCCGGCCCGGGCTGCGGCCTCCCTGCTCCCCGCCAGTCCTGGCTCTGCCCTCCCCTCCCCCCTCCGCCTGAGGTCTCCTGGGGCACGCGCCCGGGTGTTGGTCCAGGCTGCGGGGGCAGGGGGGGGGGGGGCCGGGGGGCCCCCCCGGGTTTCCCCCCTTTGTTTTTCCGGGGGGGGGCCCCCGGGGGGGGGGGGCCCCCGGGGGGGGGGGGGGGGGGGGGGGGGGTCCGGAAGGCCGCCCTGGCTTTGCTCTCTTGATTATCCGCGGGGCGGCTCCGCGGGGGTCGCGCGCCCCGGGGAAGGGCAGAGGAGTCAGGGACCTCTCACGGGAGCCCTGGGACAGTCGGGGGCCGCGGGTCTCGGCCGCCCCGCGCCCCACGCCCGCCGCGATGGTCCCGGGCTCCGGGACGCGTGCCAGCCTCCTGCCGCTGCGCAGTCCGCGCCGAGATGTCCTAGGCGGCGAACCTCACCGAGGCTTCGCTCGGGAAAGCGTCTAGAGCCGGACCGGGTGGAGAGAGGGAGAGAGAGACCGCGGGGCGCGGGGGGGGGGGGGGGGGGGGGCGCCGCGGGGGGGGGGGGGGCGGGCGCGCGGCGCTGCGATGGGGGCTCCGGGCTCGGGGGGTTGCTTTGGCACTCGTCGCGGAGGGGGGCTGAGTGCGCGCCCCGGGCCGGGCCGTACCTGTCAGCCCTGGGGCGCGGCGCAGCGGCCACCGGAGGTCTGACTTCACTCTCCACGTGAATCCTGCCTGGCGGCGGTGGCTTGGGCGCTGTGGCTTGTCCCGAATGTCGCGTGTGGCGGCCGCTGCGGTGACGGGAGGGCGGGGCGGGGGGCGTTGGCGTGGGTGGGCGCTGCGCATCCCAGAGGCAGGGTGCGTGTGTTGAGCGGGCGCTGGCAGCGCCGCGGGAGCAGCGTAGACCGAGCCACCGGGGCAGGAGGTTTGGGGGCCCAGGGCTGGCGGGTGGGCACGGGCCGGATCGCGCGGCAGGGTCGCGGCTGCTCCGCCGCCACGCGGCCTCGCTCCTGCTCCGGGTGCCCGCACTTGGCACGCCGAGGCCCCCGCGGCGGCGCCCCGACTCCAGCGGGGAGCCCGGGGCTGTCCGGGAGCCTGGCCGGCGCAGTCCCAAAGGTGTGCGGGTCCCGGCCAGCCAGGATGGCTGCGGACTGTAATCCCCGGGGACCCACTCCCTGGCACCTTCGCCCTGAGTTCCCCAGGAAGATCGGGGAAGCTGTGGCACGTTTGTCTTGAGACCACTTAATGTTCAGGTCTGGGTCTCTGTTCCTAACCTGCCCCGGCCCTTATTCCCACCGGGAGGCTTTAACCTATAGACGCAGGGGTTACCACCGTCTGGTCCAGGATCTAGAAAACATGAAAATCCTGACACACCAACACCTAGGACGCACGGACTGGGCCCTGTGGGTGCAGGCACACCCCTTTCTTGTTTATTCCGCCTCGCTGTCCCGCCTGTGTCTCTGTTAAAAGACTTGCTCTACCTCGGTTAGGTGAATGATCTCTGTTTGAAGTTTCTGGAGGTGTGGGAGGGGAAGGGCAGGGACCTGTCCCGGGAGTGCTGTGTGAACGTGGAGGTGGCCAGGTGTGGAAGCAGCCTGCAGCCCCGCCCCGCAGCCTAGCAGCCCCGCGGCCCAGCAGCCCGGCTGCCCAGCAGCCCGGCTGCCCTAGCAAGGTCTGCGCTCCGGGACTGCCACTCTGGGCACAGTCGGGATTAACGCCATGCTCCTTGGTCTTCCAGAAGCCGAGCCCTGCTGCGGAGCTCCTGGCGGCCCGGCCCCCGGGCGCTGCGGCGGGGACCCTCACCATGAACACCATCGTCTTCAACAAGCTCGGGGGGGCCGTGCTTTTTGAGGACCGAGGCACCCCAGAGCGGGAACGTGGCAGCCGGCCGTACGGTGGCGTCCTGGACCATCCACACACCCGCCCGGAGGTGGGCATTCCAGAAGGCCCGCCCCTCAAGGACAACCTCAGCCTGAGACACCGGAGGACCGGGTATGCTCGTGCCCCCCTCCCCCGGGGCCAGTGCCGACCCCCAAGGCCGGAGGGGGAGGGGCGGCGAGTCGCGGGTGGGTGAAGGGTGAAGCAAGATCTGGACTCTGCGGCTTCCCCCAAGAGGGCATCTACGCCTCCTGGACGCTCACTCCGGTTCTTACGGATTTACCTTCTCGGAACTGGAGGGTTTAGTTCCTTAGAACAGTTCCTAAGAGACCTGCGTTGGAGTCCAGCCCTCCCGCACCTAGAGGTCCCTGGCACTCGGGGACTTGGAGTCCTTTCTCGCTTCCTCCGCGTGTGGCAGGAGCAGATAGAACTCCGCGCGCCGTGACGCGGGGTAGAGAAACAGGCGGGTCCCAGGCGAAGCCCCGGGGCCTTCCTCCTCCGTCACCCGAGGGTCTCACTTTGGCCTTGGGATTCCCCCAGCCGGGGACTAGGCGTTGGGAGGGTCGGCTCCTGCTGGCGTTCCCGCCGCACACGGCTCGGCGGGGCCCGCGGCGAGCCCGGAGGAGGCTGCCGACCTGCTGGCTTTCGGGTGTGGGGGGTAAGCCGGCTCTCGGGGCGCGGAAGGGCCGGGGCGAGCCCTTTGCTCCGGTCCCGGGGCGGGCAGGGCGCTGTGAGCGCGGCGGGGTCCTCCCGGACCGCGGCACCGGCCGCCTGGTTGCTGCACCGCCGCTTGGTAAGAGAGATTAGGCTTCGCCGGGCTGCGGCCGCCGGTCGGCACCGTCAGAGCTGCTTAAAAGAGCCGGGGGAGGCTGGAGCCCGGGAGGCAGGGGCGCAGGCGCGCGAGCGGGGACCGGGACCGCAGCCGCGCGGCGACACCTCCCGGAGCCTCCCGGGAGCGCAGCGCCTCACAACGCCTCGAGCGCCAGCTCCCCTAGAAACCTGCCTTCCCGGGCTCTTTCCCCATACCTTTAGCTGCGGGGAGGACGTTTTACCCTTTACTCTTCCTACGGAGGGGATGGCTGGCCCTGGAGGGCTTTGTAAGGTCTGCTCCCCCCCCCCCCCCCCCCGGCTTCCCGCATTTTCAGGGCATTCAGCGAAACGAGCGAGCGTCCAGAGAGCCTAGGCAGCCAGCATCCTCTGCTTTGTTTCCGACGTTCAATGTGTGTTCCCTGACCCCTGGCGGCCCACAGCCCCAGGACCTGAGCATGAGAACGTGGAGACCTGGCCCTTCCTCGAGGCCAGGGCCAGGCCCTGGCCGGTGGCAGAGGCGAGGGCAGTGTCAGTTAGCGCCGGGTCCAGATCTGCAGCCTAGCGAGTTTTCCAACCACGTGGCGCTTGTCCCTACCGCCCCAAGCCTGCCTCCCTGGGATGAAGACAGCCTCCCGTTTCAGTATCAACGCTAGGCTTTGCGCCGCCCGTGATCCCGTGGCCATCTGGCTATTCGGAACGTGCATAGGAACCGGTGCTCTCACTGAGAAGTTGTGGGGCTTCCTTTTCTTGCTTTGCCCCGAGTTTGGGGTCTCTTAGAGTTGAGCAGCCTAAGAATAGACGCCCTGGGTTGCTGGGCGCGCGAGGGCGGGGCGGGGCGGGGCGGGGCGGTGCGGTGCTCTGCTGTTAAGCCCAGGGCTGACAAGGTGGAAAAGCGATCTACCACGGAGGACCTTCAGGCCGCCCAAAAGGTGTCGCTAACACGTCCCTCTCCTCTCCCCGCGTCCCAGGGCCCGGCAGAATGGAGGGAAGGTGAGGCACAAGCGACAGGCCCTGCAAGACATGGCGCGGCCGCTTAAGCAGTGGCTTTACAAGCACCGCGACAACCCGTATCCCACGAAGACCGAAAAGATACTCCTGGCCCTGGGCTCGCAGATGACGCTAGTGCAGGTAATCCGAACGCCTCGAACCTGGGACCCTGAGGAGCAGAAGCACGGCGCTCCTGTGGTTGTGCCTCTCCCTTGGGAAGGGTGGCATCTCAGTGAGGTCCAGATCCTCTGCCTTCTGTTGCTGAGGAGGATGAGGGCGAGGCACAGGGGCCAGGTCCTATCAGTCTCCTCGGTGGGAATGATTGGGTCCCAGAAGCAGTTTCAGCGATGCTGTGTTGAGGGGGGGAGGGCATGGAAGGCCAGCTGTGCTATGAAGATGGGCAGGAATGTGGATTCAGGAGCCCTGCTGGATAAGGACGCTCCTCCACCGCCATTTCCAGCCTTTAGTGTGTTTCAGTTACCAGGAAGTCTCCTTAGAGCGCAGCCTGTTGCCTCCAGCTGCTGCGCTCAGACCCCTGTGGCAGGGCTCTCCTAACAAGTTAACTTGTTAACATCTCTAACAAGTTCCCAGGGGATGCTGAAGACAGCAGCCCAAGGTGCACGTTGGACCCCGAGTGAAAACTCACTTACACGCTAAGTAGAAACTGTTACTCAGAGGTAGCCAGAAAGCAGGAGAGGAGGGAAGAGGCTTTTAAATGCCTTCATCCTGGCACATCTGGAAACCACGGCACATTGCCACCACTTTGTGCTGGGCTAGGGGGAGAAAATTCCAGATTGCGAGTGGTCGGTTCCCGCTGTCAGTGCAGAGAAACCATGCCAGCGCGCCTCTTCTCCAGCAAACAAACACTGCTTTCTACTCAGCTAGCTTTTCTGGGCACAATCAGTGTTTGGTAGTCCCCCAAATAGGCACTACAGAGCACTTCCTACCAGCGTTCTGCCAAGGTGAGGAGTGGAAGGTAAAGGACAGAGGATTCCCGGGTAACAAATCCCAGATTAGGTGCCTTCCCATCACAACGCAGTTCTCTTTACTAAGCGTAAGGATGCAAACCTCTCTGCAAACAACAGATTGAGAAAATGGAGGCCCGGGGTGAGCTGGAAAATTCTGTTTATTGCAGTAGCACAAGCTTGAAAGTTTCATCAAACACAGGACAGGAAGACAGCCCAAGATCCAGGATGAAACTGCGAGCGAGAAAATAAAAATCTCTTTCCAGAGTGTTTACAGTTTCATCTAAGAATTGCTGGAAAGTTTGACACGGCATTTGCGTTGGCTTGTAGCAGTTCTCCACAGAATTCTAATACGTGTTTTTCTGCTTATCTTCAGAATAAAGTTTCAGAGAAAAACATCTGCTTTCCTTCCTATTAGCAGGAGATTGTAATAACAGTGATTTGCCATAGCAGGCAAAAGCTCATTCTGGGTTCCTGGGTTGAGACCTGCCTAACACAAAACTGTGAACGTTGCAAAAGCAGTTTCTAAATAAGTTGCTATGATCAGAAAAACTTGACTTGTGAAAATAAATGTGTATACTCCAATGCCAATTTAAGCAGGCCTGCTACTTATTCTGGACATTTGCCTGCTTACAGAGGGCCTTGAATAGTAGCAGTGAGATCACAGTAAGACACTACGTTGTTTTCATTACCACATGGCTGTTATCACCGCTGTTCATATGGAAAGCAAGTCTACTGGGCATGTTTTTAAAAACAGGTTTTAGTGATTAAAAAGTAACGTTTGTAGTTAGGATAGGAATTCAGATTATTGTTTTTAATTGTTATCTTGGATGAACTGCAAAGTTACGCTTTTAATTTAGTTGTGTAGTAGTTACCAACTTGTTATGATAGTTTCAGTATAAAGAACTGCTCTCACACTTTTGGTAGCACTATTACATTTTTTAATTTATGTGAAATTTTCATTAATTTTTTTTGTTCTTTTCTACACTCAGAATAAAAAATATGTAATTCTTAAATGGAGCAGAGATTGTTTGAAACGACACATGTGTGACAATGATTTTTAAAATTGTTGTCAGTAAGATAAATTTCTTAAACTTTAAAGTGATCAGTGGAAAAACTTGAATGCATAAAATTACTACCCAAGGGCCTTATTTATAATCCAGCTTAAGTTCGGTTATTTTCAAGTATGCGCGATGGCATATGTAAGGAATATATGTGGTATGCCTACCCACACAGCCACCTCTCTGTTTTTATATATAGGAATTTATATAAGTCAAACATGCATCAGACATCCAGAGCATCTTCCAGCTTTATGGAAACCACATCGATTATGTAAATACTTTACACTTCTGGAGGAGGAGGGTAGGGTTGTGATCTGAGTCAAGTTTTTGGTCCCTGCAAGTTAGGCTGCGTCCTGAGTCAGCCCTGCACGGTGAGTCACCGTCTCCTGTGGAGTCAGCCTTCTGGAGAAGATGCTTACTCAGAGGGTCCACCCCACAGTATGGCTCGCTCTGTGACGCACACTATGTGCTTGTAGGGCGAATGCCTTGAGAAGTGACGTTGGAGTCACACGTAGCTCTCCAGACTGTCTTTCTGACAATTATGGGAAATCCTCAGCTCTGGTTTTAGTTTTGGGACATCGTGGGGAACCTGAGGGCAGGCTGCTAGCACCCGTAGGATGAGCGAGCAGCTGTAGGACGCACTTCTTTATCCAGTGTCTGTCAGACGGTGACACGCATGCGTGCAGGCACCCGTGCAAAGCTGCCTCAGTTCTTGGTTCCTGATGACTGCAGGGCCTCCGAGGGTTTCTTCTTCCTCTTGCTATATTGCAATAGGCTATCACCACATGGATTTTATTCCTCAACAAAATATCGTGAGTTTGGGCATCTGTTTCGTGCTTAACATTTTACTCTGAGCATGTGTTCAACTTTTCCTACATGGTAGTTTTACTTTCCTTTGCTGCCATTAAACTGCAGAGGAAGGGTGTGAAACCTGGTTGGGAATCTCCCATCAAGCATAAAAGTAAAAAGGTGGAAATATGGTTTAGGACTTTTTCTGCTGTCCAGAATCACAGGACAGGACTGTGATTAATACCTACACATTTTCATCACTGAGAAAATGAGACAGAAATGCACGAATTGATCATGTGACTCTCCGTTGTGACCTGATTTGGGCCTGATTTGCTGTAACTGTGCTTACCTCCTGTTTGCCTGTGGCAGCATCTCAATGAGATCAGAATTCAGGAGAGTATTTCTATGTGGCAGGCTTTGATGTCAGCCAAACAATACTATACTGGGCTTGCTTTCTGTCAGTAACACTGTTCCGTATAGTGCTGTTCAAATAGGATACTTTGTGTCATTGTGGAACATTAAGAAGGAGTGTGAGATGGAAAGTTTGTGTTACTGTTGATGTATAGCTTAGCAAGGTTTGGTATGGCTGGGTTTTCCAGCTTCTGCTGTGACTCTAATGTCACATTCCTGTGATGTGCTCATGTGTTTGGTAAAATCACCGTGTTACAAAGTTTTTGCTTCTAACATTGGCATAGCTGTTTTTGCTGGGAGTTGAGTATTTATTATGAGGTGATAATGGTCAGGTATCCAGTGAGATCCTAGGTGAGGCCTTATACATCATTCCAAGTGTTAACAGGCACAGAAGGAAGAGGCCCAGTATTTAAGTTAGTATAGCAGACTGAGCTTGCTGATTTGATCTGTTTAAAGCTGGGGAGACTCTAGTTCGTCCCTCTGGGTTCACCCTGCAGTTTCTCCATCCACATGACAAACCGAAGCACCTTCGGTAAAGATGGTGGAAAACAGTTTTTTCTTCCAGCTTCTCGATACTTGGCTCTCTGAGCTTTCATTATAAACATGGTGTTTTAAAGGCACTTCTGACCTAAAATGCTGTTCCAGAACCTACCCTTAGAAAGGGAATATGCTTGACAACAAGAAGGAACCCAAAGGAGGTGTAAAATGTAGAAAATGCGAGTATATATTTTTACTGCCAGTGACACAGGAAATTTCCATTAAGTCATGAAGGAAATTGCAGAACATGCAAATTCATCAACCGTTGTATCTCGGCTGTTCGTGGGAGTCGATATTAAATACCTCAGCCTGCACCTTGCTATTAAGTTGTATCGCATGGTTCAATAGATAAAATATGGACAATGACTGTATGCGAGCAGACTGGGTGTCAGTCGAATTTATAAAACCAGTTTAGAAACAGCCCATATTAGATAACACAGACCTTTCTGGAAAATCTCCAAATGTCATTATAACAGGCTGAGAACTATGAGTATTTAATACATCAGAAAGCCGATGGTCTCTAATTGTGAAAAGCCAATTAATCCCCCATAACCCTTAAATGTTCTTCCATTTTTATATATTAGAATTGTAGTGTACTAATGTTTGTTTTGTAATCAGACAGCCATTCCACTCTTATTATATGAAGTGTCATGAGAATTGGGTTTATTCTGTAAGGTGTGGGTGTAATGCAAATTAGTGACATTGGTTAGGATCTAACTAATACAGTCTTAATTAAATACTGTTTAGTAAAGAAAGTAACACAAAAAGTTTGGTGTTGGGTCCTATGAAATGTGATAGCCACCTCAGAGAAGATGCAGACTGGCTTCCTGTGTGTGAGAGGTGAAGGTGGACCTAGACACATGCAGCTGATCTTGCAGGAGCATCTGGTGAGAGTAGGAGGCAGGCTGGACAGCTAGCTGCAAAGAGATCGACAGATGTGCAGGCAGTGAAGGCTGTTTCACAGCTCTTGGTTTTCAGAGTTGATAAAAAAAAGTTAGGAAACATCTGACCCACTTTATAGTGAAGGAGTTGTGTTGTGCTGTGTTGGGTTGGGTTAGTTTGGGTTGTGCTGTGTTGTGTTGGATTGTGTGTTTTCATGTTAAGGGTCAAACCCAGAGCTTTGCATATGCTGGGAAGTGCTCTGTTGCCCCTGTGTTACATCCCAGCTCCTGGGTGAAGCATGTGAAGTTCAGAAAAACTTGGAATGAATTAACCAAGTTTACACAACAGGGCATGTTTTTAGGAAATTCAGGACAGGAAACCAGGCCACTGTTCCACAGTCACAGCACAGACTTGAAGAAGTAAATTGATTGAGTCAAAATAATGCATCACTTTTGAATTTGATAATATTTGTGAAGATCCGTAGAGGAGAATAGAATGGAAACTAGGAAAGTTTGGAAGAGTGTTTTTAAAGCACCTAATCATTAGTCATGAGGATTGCATGAAAATTTGGGGAATGAGTGAAAGAGCCAGAGCTGGGAGGGAAAGGTAGCCAAGAAGAAACCAAGTGTTTCCAGCTTCCACAGTGAGTGGCTGCCCTGGGCCTCAGATTATCATTGTTATTATCAGGGTTCAGGTGAGTGCTGGATGCCTGTAGATTGTGCACGTGTGTGGATATGGCCTTGCCAAGATGTGCACTTCACACCACAACTATTATGTAATAGCTGCTCTGTATATTTGTTGAGTGATACTCCTGGAAGCTGCCTATGTGTGGAGGTTGAAAAGACAGAATTTGAAGGCCCGCTGAATCAAAGTGCAGCCCAGCTGGAATAGAAGTTGATAAAGACGAAGGCTTTTGCAGTGGCCTGGTTCACAGTGTAGAAAGACAGCCATCTTGTTCAGGGCAGAAGGGGCAAAATGAGGGTGTCAGTGTTGAATTCGTGTGACCAAAACAAAGCGTGTTAGATGTGGAAGGAGGAAAATGCAATTGTGCTTTTGAAAGCAGAAATCACAATAGTTTCATATAATAATTAGGAACTGAACAATTTCCAAATATACTTATTTTGTATTTCTAGCACTTATAGTGTACTAAAATACCCCGAGGGTATTTGTAGTATGATTAAGAAAAAAAAAATCTTCCCGTGAAAACATGGTCACACAGACTGTTATAGTAGCAGGAGTTTGTGTTCTGAAACAAACTCACAGGAAAAATAGTTATATTTGTATAGTTTATATTTTAAAAGCAAATATTGTCCTTTCAGGTTTTATTTTATTTTTTTGAAAAAGCTATATGCTGTTGATACCCTGATATTTTATGAGAAAAGTACATTTTCTTCTCTAGGAGCTCAATAGCTTCTTGAAGGAAGAATGAAAGTAATTTTTCTTTGTTTTCAAATGTCCTTCTTTGTCTTCACTGATGTGGAGACATAAGAAACAGTGGACTTTGAGTTCCAGGCAGGGCTTTCCTGGGCCACCTCCTCTCCTTTCCACTTTGGCTGTAGTTTGATAGTTTGACTGTAGCCTTTGGTGATTGTCGCTAGCTCTTCTTTAGGTGTCCAGCCTCCTTACGTGGCATCCAAAGCTTGGCCCTGTGCTGTCTTCCTTATGCCTACGCACAGCTCAGCCTTCACCTCCCTCTGAGCCTGAGACTCTCAACTCTGACCCTCCCTTCTGTAGATCTCAGGCGTGTCTTTCGTTTTCATGTTGGACCTCCATCTGTGAGCTTCCTCTGGTACCCTAACCCAGACATTCCCCAAACCAGGCACATGGGCACAGCCTCAGAAGGCTGGCTGGCTTTTCAAAATTTCAGGTTGATCACGCTATATCATCATTAACTTTTCCACTCACTGTGTTTGTTCATTCTTGTCTAATTCATCCTCCCTCCCCCTCTCTGCCACTCTCTCTCCCTCTTACCTCTGCTCCCTTTCCTTTTCCCCCTTCTCTCTTTTGAGGTGGTGCCTTCCATTGCTCCCCAATCTGACTTCAAACTCTGGTCAAGTGATTCTGCTCCTGAAGCCTCCCAAGTATTTACAGCACAGGTTTATAGCAGCAACCCTGGCCTTGGTCCTTTAAGAGAAAGCAGTTGCATAATTATTGTGTTTTAATGCTGGGTTAATTGAAAAACTATTGCCATTTTAGGTGTCAAATTGGTTCGCTAACGCTAGACGTCGCCTGAAGAACACTGTTCGGCAACCAGATTTAAGTTGGGCCCTAAGAATAAAGTTATACAACAAATATGTGCAGGGCAACGCGGAGCGGCTCAGTGTGAGCAGCGACGACTCCTGCTCGGAAGGTTCGTCCGGTTTCCATGTCCTGTCTTTGCTTTGACACTGCAGTAAGTTCACCCTAGGCGCCGTCTTAATGATCCCACAAAACATGGTAGTGCCACAGGTTGTTTTTTATTGCATGAGGTAACTTCATCTTTATAAAGCAACAAGAATTACAGCCATTTTTGTTGTTGTTGTTGTTTATAGATTTGTCATGTGGAGGGGGAAAGCATTTTCATTAAAATTAAATACCCCGGGGAACACTCACACGGGTTCCTGCTTCTTTTGACCTGAAAATTAATCTTATAATCTTATATGTTCGTCCTTTGTGCTTATTTGTAATGACTAAGTGTGACAGTTGAGAGCGTGTGCAAATACTAGTTGGTGGTATCTTTCCCCTCAGATGGAGAAAACCCCCCAAGAAATCACCTGAGTGACACAGGCTATAGCGCCCCTGCCCACCACACGGCCATCAAAGCGGAGAGCTCAGCAAGGAAGGCTGGAGAGGGGGCAGAAGCCAGGGCCTCGGAGGACTACGTGTCGCCTCCCAAGTACAAGAGCAGCTTGCTGAACCGTTACCTTAACGACTCTCTGAGCCACGTCATGGCCGCCAGCACGGCCATGACGGGAAGAATGAGGCAGAGGAGCCACTCGGGGTCTTTCAGCTCCAACGAGTTTGAAGAAGAGCTGGTGTCTCCCTCGTCATCAGAAACCGAAGGCAACTTTGTGTACCGCACAGGTAAGCCTGTGCTTTGACGTGATCACGGAGGTCTGTGTGAGGCACGAAGGTGCACCAGAGGAGTGTCCTGTAGCAGATACAAGAAAGTCATAAGGTGCACGGAGTGCCGTAATTCTGGAGTAAAGCCTTTGATTTGTTTTAAACCGGCGCTTTTACAGATACATTCCTCAGTTAGATGGTGGTCTCAGACAGCCTGTGATGTTTTTTTTTTTTTAATAGTGAGGACAAGTGTCTTCATTCTTAGTGATAATTTTAATCATGATGGTAACAGTATTGATTTTTTCATGGTGTGTTTTGTGTGTGCAGCTGTGTGCGGACCCCATATGGCTAGGTTTTCAGGCACATAGTCCAGCATGCGTGGCTCTGTTGAGGTGGGTGCTGGGACCTGAACTCAGGTCTCCATGCTCATGCAGCAGGTACTCTTCACTCTGGGCCGGTTCATCTGCTGGATGATAGCAATATTTAAAGCGTGCATATGCTGCCTCTCTGAAGAAGCCACAGGGTGGAGGAATGTGCTGGATTGTGGCCAGCCATGCGAATGTTTCAGGTTCTGTCTTTTCTTTTACATACTCTTGATTGCTACAAGTGATAGGAAATGAATACAAATTAACACAAGTGCCAGGATTTTCAGAAGGGAAAAACACAAACCTGGATCCAGTTGATTTGGAAATTTCGCTTTCATTCCTGGAAAGTACAAGTAGGGCTGATAAACAGCTTTGAAGATTTTATGTTCATTCCAGAAATAGTGAGCCGATTTCTACCTGCCCAAAGCACTCAGCTGGAGTAGCAGGTTGGCGAAGGTTGTTCTCTTGACTTTAGCTCAGAGAGATTTGCTTTTAAGAAGCATTTGAACAGGGTTACTTTGGAGAAGGGATGGGTGAGGTCTGCATTTGCAGCCTGGCTCCTAAACATACCAGTGAAAGAGCTTTAATGTCAGACCTGGAAAGGAGCGAGCTCTCAGCCTAGCCAGTTACCCAAGATGAGAAAAACAATCGCAGACACACAATGTGTGATCATTAGCTGAGCGGTACTGCACAGGGGTTTTAGGAGGGTCACCTCTGCTAGCGCTGTGATTGGATCTACTCCCAGCAATCACCCTGCAGGTACCACCAATGACTGCCTGTCATTAGCCCTCTGCCTCCAATGACTGCCTGTAGTTCCCTGACCAGTGTCGTTTTCTGCAGACCAGTTATGCTGCTGCCACAGACAATACCGGTATTTCCCCCAAGAATTTATTGATTATCATGTGGCTAACATCCTGGGCAGGTGTGATATATACATTATAGTTTTAGGGAAGACTGAGGTAGATAATCCCTGTCCCTGGAGAATTTTCCAGTAGGATTTAGTTCAAGTCTTTTTTTTAATCAAAAAAAATTATTTTTCAAGATGTATCGTAGGACAGGAACGAGATCAGAAAGAGCACAAGGTGAAATGTGAAGCTGAAGTCCCTGGCCTGAGCAGGCTTCTCAGAGGACCAGCAAGCCTATAGTCACTGTAGAGCTTTAGGGAGGAATCCAAGGGTAGAACACGGAGTCCAGCCTTCTGATTGGTTATCCAGAAATCTCCTCAAGCGTCTGCAGACATGAACAGCGTCATCATTCTGAAAGTCTCAGGACATCCTTTAGATCTGAGTCACCATTTTTCAGTTTGCAACTCTAGTTCCCACATTAAGCCATTCCAAGCACACAGAAATACAAACACATCCTCAGAAGGAGGGACTGGCGTTCACAATTGTCTGTAATGCCAGGCCCATGGGATCTTACACCCTCACACAGACATGCCGTATCACACAGACATGCCATAACACACAGACATGCACATAAAGTAAAAAGAAATAAAATTCGAAAGAAGAAGAAACAAATGTATAGTTAAATTATTGTGAAGGGACCAGGGAGATGGCTCGGTGGCCAGAGCATGAGCCACAAGTGACAAGTGGGGGGGGGACCAGAGTTCAGATCCCCAGCCCCACAGGAACGTCAGCTGGGTGTGGTGGCCCTCCCGTCACCCCAGAGAAAGCCAGCCGGTGAGGCCAGCTCGGTCAGCAGGCTCCGGCATCAACTGAGAGGCCCTTCTGTGGTAGACAGGGCTGCAAGGGATTGAGGGAGATTCCAGATCTCGGTACACATGCACTAGCAATGCACACACACATACAACTATCATGGAGCGCTGCGAACAGCTCTTTGACAGTATATCTTGTGTAACTGTGTGCACAATACATTTATGTCATCCCTGAAAATGAATGAGAAATTCATGGGTTAGGAAAGTTTTACAAGTGACCAGAATAACTCGGGAAAAAGTCAGGATTTTAGTGAACCCAGTGCTCCAAAACTGAGAAATGATTGAACCAGTGGATTTTGTTTTTGTTTTTGTTTTTGTTTTTTTTTCAAGCTTTGAGTAAATAAATCCTCTTGTTCTACACGTTTTCTGGAACATTTAAAATTATAGGAAGTGTCTCAGTTTTAAAATGGAAATATAATTCTAATCCCAGACCAGATTAAGGTAATCCGAAAGTCTTTTTGTGGTACAGAGCACTGAGCTAGGTGAGAGCTTTTTCCAGTTCAGGCTCTTCAAACCGGGGGAACATGGAACGCAGCAATGACAGTGCAAGCGAGTAAGGGTGCGTGCGCAGGCGCGGCACAGGTTTCTTAGAAGGAAAGTGCTGTTGGTGGGGTGAGGTGGGCAGCAGCTGTTGAGGAAAAAAATGTGTCTTACAAACATGTGTGTGCTACCCAGTAAAAGCAAGGTCACGTGTGTGTAAAGTGCCTGTTCCACTGGGTCTTTTGAAAACGTGTGTGCTTTTCAAAGGTGACAAAACACAAAATGCTGTGCTTGCGAGCCATGCTTTTCAGACTTAGATATCTTGGCTGTTTTTCTTAATCCATCCCAGAAGTGCTTGGACCTAATTAAGCACTGCCCATAGACTAAGCTCTCTTTAGAAATGCAACCAGTGAGAACGAGACCTCGGCACGTCAGCTCTTCCATGCACGTGTGTAAACTTAAAAAGAACAGCATGATTTCTTTCCCCTTCATCATGTTCAGTCTTGGAGCATTGAGAGAGAGACCAAACGCCTAAAAGTGTTATGCAAAGCTCTAGGCCAAACAGGCAATAGCTGTGTTTGGGTGGCTGAATGATACCGCTAGCGTGTATGTGTGTGTGGAAACAGAAGCTCGGGGGACTGGGCCTGAGCACTTTCTGAGTAACTGCTGTGGCTTTCCTTGGCATTGGAGTCCAGGCCAGATTCCTTTATTTCCATCTGGTTGGGTCTTTCTCCTCATCAGGACAGAAATGTTCAAAATCTGCCATTCACTCACTCTCCTGGTTGTTGTACGAAGACCTTAAGTCCATTTTACATGAACATTCTAAGGGAGATTTGTTCGTCTGTCTAAACCAGGCGATTACATCTCCCTGCCTGCTTTCTGGTGTTGTTTGTTTTGTTTTTACTGCTATCTAAGAATGTGCTTCATTAAGAATATGAAATCAGGACTCGAAATGAAAGTTTGGTGTGTGGAAGGATCATGGGGAACTGATTTTTATTTTTTCCAATTCTTTTTTTTTTTAAGACAGAGGCTCTCTGTGTAGACCAGCCTGGCCTAAAACTCTGAGCTCTGCCTGCCTCTGTGTTTTGAGTGTTGGCATTAGAGGTGCTACCACCACACCGGTCTTACTAAATTCTTGTTAAATCTTATTAATAAGAGAGTCTGGGTTTTGAAGAAAAAAGTATCAGTAACACGTGGATGTTTTGTTGCTTTTTATATAGAGATTATTACTGTGTTTTTGCAGCCTTGGGCATTATGCCAAGGCCGTACCAGGTCCTCAGGAAATAGTCACTGAAACACTTTCAGTGCAACTGATCAGCGTTCCCAATCTTATAAACACAGTGAAGTGACAATGAAGGCAAGCAGTCGCTCCGTATGTCCGCGGGAAGAAGTCCTGTGAACTTAAACAGCGATTCGTTTTTGTTGTGTTAGGCTAATGACTGGGAAATTTCAGGTAGTTGCTGGAGTGAATTTTGGTTACAAACCCAAGCTTCTGGTGCTGAGGTGGATCCAGGGCCTCAGGATAAAGCTTTCCGGTCATCATTTGTCCCCTGTCCCATCTCTTCCTTATACCCTCCACCGGAGACCAACTAACTGTGCTGCCTTACAAAACAAGTCCTCATTAGTGCCTTGCCTGCACCATCTCAGTTTGATTCCTGCCTCCAGACCAAACCTATCTTCCCTGTGGAAGGAGGGGGAGAAGCTTCTGAAACCTGTGGAGGACCCCAGGAAAGCCTAGAAACAAACCTTAAGGACATCTGCTTTCTACTTGGCTAGAGAGCAAGGCGGGGGAGTGAGGGAGGTGTGCGTGTGTCTGTGTGTGTATGTTTATGTGTGTATGTGCTGATGTGTGTCTGTATGTGTGTGTGCACGCCATGTTTTGTCTGTGTGTTTATGTGTGTATATGTTTGTGGGGAGGGGTGTCTGTGTGTGTGTGTGTGTGTGTGTGTGCGCGTGTGTTCTCGGCTCACGAATGAACCTCCTTGGAAGTGACTGGGACGTTGAGACATTTCTCTGAGTCCCACTGTCAGTATAAAGTTCATCTTTGTAAGAGGCTGAGCGTTTTAACTCCGTCTTGTTAAGCCGACTTAATTAGACACATCTGGCCTAGACAAAACATCCAAGGCCACTAGGACTGTTTTCTGTGTGGTGTGAATTAGTCATGTTTAGCTTTTCCTGTGCCTGACTGAGGTGAATGTCCCCAAATAAAGGGAAACATAGAGAGCACAAAGAAGTCATGTTCTTGGTGCGTGGGACACTTGGAGATGTGGGAACTGATTGGACCGCCTGCCGTGGTTGGAGAACTGAAGCCAAACGAGAGAGCAAGGCAGTGGGGTCGCCGGAGAAGTACACAAATGGTTGTGGAGAATAAGGGCCAGCTGCCATTTCTGAAGGTTTTTCCTGGCTGGAGGTGACCCGTGGAGGGATAAGATGTTCCTTTCTCTCCTGTTCCCTGCACACTC